CTCTTTGGGTTGACTTTCGGTCTCAGGGCGTATGGTCCGGATTGGATGATCGACTCATAATCAGTCCAGGGTCTCTCCCGTACCGTGAAACGTAAAGGTGAAGTCCGCTCGCGTTCACCCATAACATTCTGATTCTCGTCGGTTGTATTTTGAGCCGGACCGGTGGTAAGAACTTGAAACGCGATGTGCATTTTACAGTGTCTTGGGTCTCTATTGGGAGAAACGGAACTGAGAGTAGTCATAGTAAGCAGTGTCCTATGAATAATTAAAGTTGAAACCCTTGTTCTATTGATCGATGACACAAATAAAGCATAATTGTAATATTAGTGATATTTGCATTTCGGGTTTGCTTCTACTGATTGATATTATTTGGCTAGTTAAAAAGTGACGGCTGAAATAACGTTTTGCTTTCAGATAGACAACAACACTGTACGCTGTCCCAGGACTGGAAACAAAGTCCCTCTTGACCACGTTTTGAAACTATATGTTTTATGAGTTACCTGCTTCTTGATAACATCTCGCAAGTATTGTTCAAAAAAACTCTTAAGCTACATCGCTCACATGCGCAGCCCTTCTCATGTGTAATCATTTAGCCCCATCGAGCACTTTGCTCATCATGAGCCTTGAACAAGTACGTTACGCAGGGCCTCAGCTCTGGATTCGCAGGCTGCGTTTTTGACGCTCTTTCTTTCTCGTGTATCTGGTTAGAAATTTTTTGGATGAAACATTTTCTGCTCTGAACTTGATTTGTTATATGACGCTGTTTTTATTATATAAATATAGATATCGTTCGAAAATTTTGAAGCGTTAGCAAAGGTGTGTCCTCGTATGTTTCTAAAGGATACAAATGTTCACTTCTCGATGGTATTGGTTTTCAAAGTGACTATTGATTGGGGCGTTTTTGAGAATTCTTAAATGCTGAGGTGTATTTGCGATGGCCTCGTTAAACGGGCAGTAGGAACGGTCTTGGGTAATCGATCCGCCGCGTGCGGCTGTCGCGGACCATTTACCATCACCATAACCGTTCTAGCGTTCTTCATACGGCTCAACCGCTATACGATTATTACTACTGACATTATTCTACTATTAGTTCTTTTGTTCCTGTACTTCTTATTTGCTGCTGCAATCTGCTACATTCCTTCGCGCGCGACGTCACTCTCGCCGTGACGCAACAATTTCGTTCCTACTGCACCACACCCGATGGCCTCGCACCTCATATGTTACTTGAGCATTATGTTTAGAGAAAGTTTCAGTTAAACACTTGCGGAAGTGCGCAATCGAAAGTGGAGAGAATAATTCCTGACGCCAGTTTTTACAGGGACAAGTTCCCTCTCGGAAGCCAATGGAGGTTCACCCTGGAGTCATATTTTTAATTCTCGTTGTCGTTGTCCCGCTGCAGTACTATTTATCTCCATCATCAAGCTCAGATATGAAGTACTACATACAACGGTAAGTTGCATCGCAAAACATTGAGAAAGGGTGACCTTAAAGGACAATGCATTGAAAATATTGGTAAGCGTGGAAGTGGTCATTCTACAATCTATAGGTAGTGCACCGGGCACCGACCATAGCTTTCCCAATGTGTAATGGTTGCAAGCCTAGCAGTGTGATTAGTTTGGAGAAATTAACAAATTATCGCGTTGTTGGTCAATGTTGACCGATAGCCATTTCTTTCCTATGGGAGAAAAGACTTCGTTCGCGAGTCGAGCGTTATCCTGGGTGACCCATGAAAAGAAAGGCAACCAAGCAAGAATAAACGAAGTTGTCGATGTGGCAGATTGTCATGCAGAAGCTTCATTGTCATGACGATCGCGTGCAGAAATGTCATCTCATTTCCGATCTCAACAGAAACTGAAGGGCCAAAAAAATGGCTAAAGGTTGCTAACTTCAGTGGAAGACACGCATACCTTTGAGGGCATACTGATAGACGTACTGAAGCACTAATCCTGAAATAGCCCTTAGTTCATCCAGAAAAATGGTACTCCAGTCCACAAGCCCAGGCTCAGTTGAGAGTTATGCCGATGCGAGCTACCCGACCGTGTTAGCATGGTGGAAAGGTCATCCTGCTCTCCAAAGCTTAAGTCACTTGGCTCCTCCGTATGATCCCTGATTAGAAAAAGACCTGATGAGTTGGCAACCCAGGTTTGGAGTCTTTGAAAGCAAGACACAAAAAACGGTCAGGAAGAAATGAAAGAGGAGTTTTGCCTACAACATGCGCGTGTACAAATTTTGTTGTCGTTCTCAGCTCCGAAGCTTAAAATATATTGCAATGAATAGGCGCCCGTGATTTTGGGACAACCTGTATGTATATGATGTGTCTGTCCGTCGATATCACCTGAAGAAAATTAGAGGTCGGATCGAGTTTGAACTAGGATTGTGCATAGGCCAAGAGGAACAGAGTACATGTGAGCACAATGGAGCTCGCCCACAGGCATGCGCAGGAGTTGGGCGGCATCATGCGCGAATCTCCCTGATTTTGACTCATAACAGTCTACGCTGGTAAAAAAGGAGCAAAGGTGTGGAATGGACCAACAAATGCGATGAGGGAGACTTACGGCAGTAGGCGGAGCCTTCTCGCAGTGGGCGGTACTTTCCCCATAAGTTGGCAACTCGATTGAACAAAGGCGAGAAGGCCAGGAAAAAATGAACGGACTGAGCAAGNAAAAAAAATCTCGCGGAAACGGACGATGATGCTCTAGGTGGATAGCGCTCGGCATACAAACTCATAATTTCGACAAGTGAAGGATACATTGCAGCGGCCATTAAAGATGAGATGTATACAGCACATTATATTTCGGATCTTTATTCTCAAATTTGCGTTCCTGTTCCGAGAGAGTATTTTGAGAACAATGTTAAGCAACCTTTTCTTTCTATGATATGCAATTTTGTTGAACGGATTAGCAGACCGAATAATCTCGACGATTGGGTGATGAAGTTGGTAGGGTCAGGGACTCATGGTTTTGTGAAAGTTTGAACTCTTGATGCATGTATCCTTTCGCTATTTTACGAACGTATCTGAAATGCCTACAAAGGCTTTTCCACTCTATCTCAGCCCTCTTTCACATTTCAGAAATGCTGGAAGTTTTACAAGAAAGGATGATGACTTCCAATTTCTGAATAAGAATAAATTGTAATGCAATTGAGGAGCAATTGCGAAAATTTTACTCTAAGGGCGTGTAAAATCTTGACTTTTTGAACTTTGCAGAGCCTAACAATCAGCTCTCGGAGGAATATATAATATATAAAACTTGATCTGATGGTAAGCTGGGCTGAGTTCTCGTCTGTTCCAATAAGCATGGCTGTGAATAAGTGCATAGCTTCGCCCATCTCGAATTACCCCGCCTGATATAGTAGCTTCCTATGAAGTATTTGAATGGCTAATCCAGTAGGCGCTTTCTTTTCCGGAACTTAGGGAGTTGTTTTCTGTACTATAATCTTACGGTAACGAAAAATAAGTTTTAGAATGCAGTGGAACTAGTGCGGCAAAAGAAGATGAAAGACGCGTTGCTTTATGTTAGAAAACATTTGGGAACCACTAAGGATGAATGGTGCGATGATGCCATGAAGGTGGGTTCCATTTTTATGCGAAAATCTTAGCAACCATAGGGCCCGTTTCGAAGGTAAATTGGGCTGTTTCCCTCTTCCCTCGATTCCCTTTTTTTTATTCAGTTAATGGGCCTTATCGCTCTCTGTGCTCATAATGGTGTACCTGCTTACAAAGAACTCTTGAGCGAGCATCGATGGCAAGCTTTAGCTGACCTGTTTCGTGAAGAAGTTTTTACATTATATCAGGTCCGTTCCAGTTTAGTAAAAGGCTTGTTCTGTTTTTTACTTTCTCTTTCCAGCTTCCACGTCAGTCAACATTTGCAATATGCCTTCAGTGTGGGTTGAGTGCTTACAAAACGCCGCACTGTTCTCCTGGCGGGGTTGAAAGATGTCCAACATGTCAACCTTGTGCATTCGCTTTAGCTGAAGGACTTCCCTATGCGCATACTGTGAACTCGAGGTATGTTTTGGACTTGTCTTTGAAAAATTATTTCGGCAACTTGAGTGTAATGTTATGCCGCTTTCAATGCGATGACTCTGTATCCTGATTTTCAGACTGATTTGTTCCTATTCTGGTGAAGCGTTGAATGAGGAAAATCACCCAATGATGATGCCCGATGGGAGAGTATACGGAGAAAAAGCTATTCGAGAGTTACAAGTAGGTGACAATTTTTCTCATTGTTGTATTGATGGCTGCCACACCTCTGTAGTTCGTAAGTTTTCAAGTTTCTGGCCACAAAAAGGCACGAGGAAGGTCGAATCTGTGCCTAACGTGTTGAGGTATTTGATGATCGGTCAGCCTTGTCAGTATAATCTCTTATTTGTGCGCCGTAGTCGTGTTCCATACATATATGAAAGAGGACTCTTTGGGTTGACTTTCGGTCTCAGGGCGTATGGTCCGGTTTGGATGATCGACTCATAATCAGTCCAGGGTCTCTACCGTACCGTGAAACGTGAAGGTGAAGTTCGCTTGCTTTCACCCATAACATTCTGATTCTCGTCGGTTGCATTTTGAGCCGTACCGTAAGTAAGAACTTGAAACATGATGTGCATTTTACTATGTCTTGGGTCTCTATTGGGAGAAACTGAACTGAGAGTAGTTATAGTAAGCAGTGTCCTATGAGTAATTAAAGTTGAAACCCTCGTTCTCTTGATCGATGACTGAAATAAAGCACAATTGTAATGTTAATGATATTTGCATTTCGGGTTTGCTTCTACTGCTTGATATTTTTTGGGTGGTTAAAGTGTGACGGCTGAATTACGTTTTGCTTTCAGATCGACAACAACACTGTACGCTGTCCCAGGACTGGAAACAAAGTCCCTCTTGACCACGTTTTGAAACTATATGTTTTATGAGTTACCTGCTTCTTGATAACATCTCGCAAGTATTGTTCAAAAAAA